GTATGCAAGCAAACACAACACACGCACACAAACACACCACAAACACACGCACACACAAACCCACACACACACACCACACACACACACACACACACACACACACAAACCAACACACACACACACACACACACACGCACACAAACACACAAACACGCCACACAAGTCGGCTGACAAGGTGCTAAATAAAGGTACACTATCTCATGGAATCCTACAGTTATTATTGTAGGATTCCATGACTATCTATATCCAACAACACATCGACACACACGCACATTCACAAACACATGCTGCACGTGTACATACACACGTACACACACGCATATGTGCATGAAGGCCTGGTTTTAGAAATTTCTCATGTAGGCAAGCTACAGAATTGCAGCATGATGAATACAATACATTTTTAAAATGAATAGCCATTGAATGTCTTATCGTTAACTTAATTAATTTTATATTTTATTGGAAAAAACTTTTTGAAAACAAAATAGAAATATAACTTATAAAGAACATTTCCAATTTTTACTTTTCAATGAAAAAATTGTTCTTTATCATTTTCTTACAAATTCTAAATTGTTCATCGTAAAATTCGAAAAAAAAGCTTGCCATTCCTACAATGTTTAAGCATAAAACTAGGCCTGACGCACCAACGACACACACGCACACGCACACAGACACACACACACGCACACATACACACACGCACACAGACACACGCACACACAAACAGGCCGACAAGATGGTGAACGTGTACGACGACGACAAAACGCCCCTTGTACTCTCTCACAGACTGACTCCCCATAACATTCCACCATTCGAGAGAAACTCGTCGTCGGCACCGCCGCTCCTCAGTCTTCAAGAGATTCTCATTATTGGTAACTGCCACGAGCAGGTTTGTTTCTACTGCTGATTGGTTGTTTAATTTTGCTTGTGAGCTAGCTCAGATGATAGGGTGCCACGTCATGTCTCTGTCTTGTACTCTTATCGCATGGTGACCAGTTTTGAATGCTTTCTGTTTCTCAAACTGTGGTGTCTCGTTTATGGTATACTGGGCATGGGTGCGTGTGTGTGCGTGTGTGTGTGTGGTGTGTGTGTGGCTGTGCAGCTACTGTTACACAAATGTTGGTTGAAGATACGACACGGGCTGATTTATAAGCAAAAAAGTAACTGAATAATTACAAGAATGGCCGCCATTATTATCATCGATCACTGACAGGTAAAGTTCAGTGAGTTGACATTGGATATGTTCCGGATCCTGCAGACACTGGAGAGGGAGCCCCAGGAGGAGACACCCAACCAGCTCTTCGACACGTCACCTGCTCCCGGCAAGACACCTTTCGTTAGTGACTTACTATGCTACTGAGTCTGCTGCTGATTGTGTTGAATTGATGGGGGTAATTGAGAGGGTCCTGATGGCTGTTATGATCCTACGCCTTGTTCTACATAATTTTTTAAATGTCAATTACACTGCATTACACCGATCTAGGTACTGTAATGTGATGTACCCACCTAAACTTACGAACACACCGTAGGACGCACACGCACACACACGCACGCACACACACACGCACACATACGCACACAGACACACACGCATTTCAGGACACATCAGGCCTAATAAAACGAGAAAACCCACACAAGTACCTGCTGTACAAACCCACCATCAGCCAACTCCTCACCTTCCTGGCATCCGGCTTCAAGGAACTGCCTGGCAATGGTGTCATGCTGCTCTACCTCTCTGCTGATGGCTGCTTTGGCTCCAATCGAAGAGTTGAAGATGGTTTGTCGTGTTGTTGATGTTCCGCTATTGTTATTGTTGTTGTTATTGTTGTGTTGATGTGTTGTTGGTGTGTTTTGTGTTTGTTTTTTCCGTACATTGCAATGCTTTTGAATTATAAATGA